GGGCCGGGCTGCGCCTGGTGCCAGAAGCTGGTAAGAGCTAGGGGGCCTTTCCGCCATCCCCTGTCTGGGTGGAGCCTCTTTCCTGTGTCTGAAGCCAGTGGCACCAGGAAGACCCAGCTCTCTCTTCTCTTGGAGGCAGGAGTGGCCCAGAGCCAGGTTGGTCTGAGACCAGGACTGATGAACCCGGTCACCCCAGGCCAGCCCTGGCCTAAGGCACCTGTCCAGGCAGTGTGTGCTGTGCTCCCAGCAGTGCCAGGCGCCTGGGGAGGGGTACAAGCCAGTTTTAAGGTGTGAGGAAAATGCAGGAAAGCTTCCTCTCTGGGTTCTCAACTCCTCAGGTGCTTAGCAACGTCACCTGTTCTACTTTGGGCCATCTGCACAGAAAGGCCAAAGCCCCAGGGAGCCGAGGCTCAGGGTGACTTCCTAGGCCCCAAGCTCACCTCCCCACCCCACAAAGGGCTCCCCCAGAGCTCCCAGACCCTGACCACACCCTTCCCCAGGGATCCCAGACCCCAACTACACCCTCCCCCAGGGACCACAGGCATATAGGGAAACTCACAATCACACGGGTACTATTTTTTCTCCACCATTTGAGAGGAGGTTGTGGTCATGACGCCCTGTCCTTCAGTACTTCAAGAGGCTTTCTTAAGAGCAAGGTATTCAATTACAAAACCATAGAAGTGAATTTGGGTAAATAAATTCATCAAAATTAGAAAATTAATGTTGGCTGGCTTGGCACCTGTAGCACACTGGTTACAGCGCCAGACAGATACATTGACCAAGGCTGGCAGGTTTGAACGCGGCCTGGGTGAGCTAAACAATAACAACTGTAACAAAAAACAGCCGGGCATTGTGGCGGACACCTGTAGTCCCAGCTACTTGAGAGGCTGAGGCAAGAGAATTGCTTAAGCCCAAGTGTTTCAGGTTACTGTAAGCTGTGACGCCACGGCACTCTACCCAGGGAGACAGCTTGAGACTCTTGTCTCAAAAAAAAGAAGGGAGAATAAACCATTTGGAACACACCATTCTATTCCCTCCCCCAGGGCCTGGTTTCCTCAGCAGAGCTGAGCTACTCTGTGTCCTGTCCATACATCCCCATCTTTTTCTTAAGCATTTTCTTACTTTTTGAAATAAGATGCTGCCAGCACTGTGTGTGTCTGTTGCCCTGCCCCAGAATCAGACATGTTTCTGAGGGCCCTTTATTTCTTTTTGTGGAACACCAGGCTCCTGATACCCTCCACACATTTCCTCCTCTCAGTTCTACACCACGCACAATGTTTTCTGAGTCTCCAGCCCATGCCACTGTGATGGGAACCCACAAGGGAGATGTCAGTGTGCGAGTGTTCCCCTTTCTTTTGACTGAGGAGCACAGCCAGAACCTGGCCAGGGTTCCAGGTGCTTTGGGACGCATGGGCTGAGAGTGGCCAAGCATTCCTTGGGGACAGATTCTGCTGACGGAGGCTCAAAGTCCTGGGCCAGCTGTCTAACCATGGGGACTCTCTAAGCTTTGGGCTGTCTGCAGCCTCCCCTCTCAGTCAGCCTTGGGGAAGACTGAGTTCTCATCACTGCCGGAGGCAGCAGGAAGGATTAGGGTTAGCACCTCTGGGTACATCCTGGGAGCCTGCAGAGTGAGGCTTCTGACCCCCACCCAGCCCCACTGGGTCTCTGTCCCCAGTTCTGGGTGTGGAGGAAGGGGGAACCCTAAGGGATGGTTGGCTTCCTACAGCCCTGGGAGGGAAACCCCCACCTTGACCCCTGACTCCCTTCCCCCAGAACGTCACTTGGTTGAGGGACCCCGACTTCATTTACTGTGACACCCGGGAGCAGCTGCTAATGAGGGGCTGTGGGCCTGATGACATCATGGACCCCAGGAGCTTAGCCGAAGCCCAGGAGAACCAGGAGGGAGGCCAAAAACAGCTGTCCCTACAAAAAGTGACACTTCACCTGCGACCAGGTAGGGCAGCCTCAGTGGGTGTGGGCCGGGCACCCGTGTGGTGGGTGTTTGGGCCTCTGCTGGGAGCTCAGCCCTCCTCTGGGCTGTCGTGGCTGACCAGGTCAGACATGTGTCCAGGCTGGATGCCAGGGTGGGCTGATGAGCCCCAAAGACAGCTGGATATGGCAGGCCAGAGTCTGAGATCCACCTTGGCCCTTCCTCTCTGTCCCCAAGTGTGTTTCCCCCCAAACCCCACTGTCGAGTCTGGACAGCTGGGCCCCCTT